CTTGCACAATTTTTGTGCACTGGGCCTCTAGTTGAAAAATAAAATTTTAAAAAAACGTTTTGTGAATGTTTTGTTTCAGGTATATTCATTTATATACACACATATGAGTTATTATTGGGTTTGATGTAGAATGTTTTTGTTCACTGTGGTCTAGGGTCAGAAAGTTTGAAGGCCACTAAAGTGACATATGAGGTTCAACATGGAAAATAACTGGATGTTTTGAGTTCTACCTTCATAGTTGATATCCATTCACATTGCCGGGACCAGTCCGGCCAACTCAGAAAATGATCTGAGTGAATGGTAAATAATAGAGAGAAGCTACAAATATCACATCATTCCGTTGTGCACCTGAAAAGAGTGTGTTATATGTCCATTATATTTCAATAAAACATAAAGTTAAAAAAAAAAGATTAGAAGCGACTTGCCGTATGTTCCTCTCTGTTCTTCCTTGGCACTGAGGTTCGCTGGCTGCCTCGGATGCCACAAGAATGGAGAGAGCGTCCGCGGAGTGCAAAGGACGAGCCGACCAGCCCCTCAGGCAGGAATTCCCGCTTGCAGCCGGACGGTTCGCTGACGCGAGCAATCAGGCACCAGCTCTGAGCCGCGTGAGCGCGACGCCGCGAGGCGTCGCTGCCCGCGAGCGTAAGAGCACTGCGCAGGCGCAGATACGCTCCCCGCCCGCTCCGTCACCTGCGCCGGTTTCCCCGCCCCCTCCTCCGGCTGCGCGCGCAGCGCTGGAGCCGGTTCCGGCGGGAAGGGGAAGCGGCGGGTAAGAAAGGCTTAGCGTTCCGGATGCTTCTGTGACGGGGTTGGGACTTTCCTCTGGGGGTCTCTCCGGCTCTCGGGACCCCTGAGGAGGAGGAGAGAGAGAGAGGAGCCCCTGAAATCGGCTTCCTCCTGCCGCTTAGGCGTGCCTCTGCTAGTCCAAGTGTTTTCGCCCTCACCCGAGCTTCTCTGGTCCGTTCCGCTCCCCGCCTCCGCTGGGGAACCCCAAGGCCCAGACCCCGGCCAGGCTGCCACCCCCGGACGGGTCTGGGATGCCTTCCCCGCCATGTAGGTAGCGTCGGAATGTGCATCCGCCTTCAGTGGCGCAGCAGCGTAAGGGTAACTCTCCAGGCAGCCCCCACGTCAAGCACAGAGCCTAGTGGTTTTGTTTGTTTTGACACTTGCTTGTCCGGTGATTCTTTCTGACACTTTTTGCGGAAGCAGCTTTGTGCTTCACTTCCTCTGGGCTGGCTGCTCCGCCGTTTCCTAGTAATCGGCCTTTCAAGTTTGAGGCTCCGGGTGCTCCTCTCTTACATCCCTGTGCCATGTCCCCGAATTAGGATCTTTCCCTGCGGAAGTGCTGTCACACCCTGTGTTCCTTTTGGGATGGAATACACTAGTGGTGGTGGGATAGTAGCAGCAGTTTCTAAAAGCGTGGTTAGTAGATCAGGGTATCTTCTGTCAGCTGCCAGAGTGGGTGGATCTTCAGTGAGCTCTTAGCGGCAGGAGGCAACCTTTTAGCCCAGTGGCTGTGCTTGATGCCTTGAAGGTACCTTGTGTGTAAACCACCGGGGAAAATCTGCTGACAGGAAGAAATCTAAAACAGAATAAAGCTTGATAGCCAGGTCATGTTTAATAATATCTGCAGGTCAAATTTCTATGTAGAGACAAATACACTGTTTACTTTTATATGCCAGTTAAACAGCGGCATTCTGTAGGTACTGTTGTGAATAGCAGCCGCCTGGCAACGTCTCAAATTTCTCAAGTTAATTCCTAGATAATTATGATAATCAGCTTAGTTATTTTTATTTTGATGAGCTTTAATGCTATAAACTTAACCACTTTTTTCTAACATCAGCCCACACCATTCCTGTCAGCCTAAATTACAAAACCCTAGCCATCTTAGATTTCCCCTGTGCTTCATCTCCTTATATTAGTGAATCTCATGGTTTCTTGATTTCAAAAAAAATAACTTGGATTTATATCTTTGATTCTCATTGTTGAAGCTGAACCGGCTGTGTTTTAGGACTTTGCTACCTCTTAGCTTATCCCCCTGAAGGCTCAAATAACGGTTCTGAAACATGATGTTTACTCCGGATGAACCTACAAAAGCTCAGGTCCAAATTTCTGTGCTTGGATTTCTCTATAACCTGGCATGTGGGAAGAGCCCAGGATTTAGAGTAAGAAGACCTGGATTCAAATACTGGGACAGTCATTACATTAACACTGTGTTCTTAGGAAACTTTGAGCTTGTTTCCTTTTCTGTCATTTTGAATAACAGTATCTTTTCCTTCCAGCCTCTTAATTATTGTGAGAATTATAATTGACATAATGTGTTGAAAAGCTATCAGAGTTGTACAAAAACAACCTAAGCGCCCCAGACGGTTTGGCTTGCAGGGGTTCTCAACCTTCTGGCCCTTTAAATACAGTTCCTCATGTTGTGACCCAGCCATAAAATTATTTTTGTTGCTACTTCATAACTGTAATGTTGCTACTGTTATGAATCGTAATGTAAATATCTGATATGGAGGATGGTCTTAGGTGACCCCTGTGAAAAGGTCGTTCGACCGCCAAAGGGGTCTCGACCCACAGGTTGAGAACCGTTGGGATAGAGCGATGACCTGCGGACTAAAGGGTCCCAATTTCCATTCTGGCCAAGAGCACATGCCCAGGTTGTGGGCTCGATCCCCAGTAGCGGGTGTGCAGGAGGCAGCTGATCAATGATTCTCATCATTGATGTTTCTATCTCCCTCTCCCTTCCTCTCTGAAATCAATAAAGAAGTATATTTTTAAAAAATACCTAAGCCATTGTTATTTCTCATTGTACTGACTCATTTTACCAACATTTGAGAACCTAATATATGTTCGATTCTTGTGCTATAGCTATGAAAGATAGTCCCTGCTTTGAGGGGCTTCCTTTCAAGGAACTTTCAGAGAGAGAGAGTAGGGAGTAGGGTGATAGAGTGTCTGACAAGATAGAGTGTGATACAGATTGTAAAATAGGTAAGCACCAAACCCAGAGGAGAGAGGAACAGGGAAGAGTTCCTAAAGGAAATTATATTTGAACAGTCTTGAATTATAACAAAGATCCAGAGGGAAGAGGTGTGGAAGGACACCATGAGAGTCACTTTTAAAGAACTGCAAATTGTTAGGTTTTATTGGAGTATTAAGTTCAAAGAGGAGTATGGGAGATAGGACTGGATAGGTAGACAGAGGTAAGATTTGAAGGACTTTTGTGCGCTAAGGGAAGTGTACAAATTGAAGGATTCTAAGCAAACAGTTACCCTGATCACAATTGTCTTTTGAAAGTTCATTCTGGCTACAATGTGTGCTTCCTTACTGCGGTGTACAAAAGCTTCTTTCTGCCTTTGTGCCTTTCCGTATTTTCTTTACTCCACCCAGAAAGGCTAATGCCCTCTCCTCATACTTACTATCTTTCAGTATCCAGTTCAGGTTCCATTTTTCCATGTCCTCCAATTATTTTAGATCCTATTACTTATTCCTTTCTCTGAAACCCTAGGAATGGTACCACACAGTTTAGTCCTTGTTTGTTTCATGTGTGTTTTATTCCCTAAGTATATTATAGGTTCCTTGAGGATAGGGAATGTTCCATAAGTATATGAATAAAAGACATGTTAAACACAAAAATATGATGTTTGGTCTCTTTCTGTTTTGTTTTTCAGGGTAGGACCAGATTATGGGCAGAAGTCCTTTAAATTAATTTATCATCATCATGGCTAATGAGGGCTGTCCCAAGGCTGGTGATAGTCTTTTTTCATCAGATAAACATGCCCAACTCATCTTGGCCCAGATCAATAAAATGAGGAATGGACAGCATTTCTGTGATGTGCAGCTACAAGTTGGGAAGGAAACTTTTAAAGTTCATCGGCTGGTTCTGGCTGCCAGTAGTCCTTACTTTGCAGCTTTGTTCACTGGAGGAATGAAAGAGTCCTCAAAAGATGTTGTACAGATTCTAGGAATTGAAGCTGCAATATTTCGAATACTTCTAGATTTTATTTATACAGGTATGGTAAGTAAGCCTGTAGTTTTAAGTGAAGAATGATGCAGTCACTCATACTGCTATGGAAATATAAATTGATATTACTTATATGGAAAGTAATTTCACAATTTATTATTATGAGTCTTTGAAAAATTCCTATCTTTTGACCTTGTAGTCTTTTTCTAGGAATACTAAGGAACTAATTAGGGATTCAGGCTAACATTTATGTACCAGGATATTTATAACATTATATATAATAGTTTAATTGAATGCCATCTAATTCTCCCTCAGTAGGTTATATGGTTAAATAAATTATGGTACATATAGGTAATAGAATATTTTTTAGATCTTGCAAATGATTTAAATATATACTATCATGGAAGGATGTTTGCAATATATTAAATGAAGATAATCTGTATGTAAATACCACTTCAATTTTGTTTTAAAAAAATCATTTGTTTGTATTTTGTGCACAGGAAAAAGACCACAATGTTGATGTTTACCTCTAGATGATGAAATATGGAAGATTCTTATTTTTCCATTTTTTTCTGTTTTTCCTTCATAATGTCATAATCAACATGTATTATTTTAATCAAATCTTTTACTTCTAAAATTTTTGTGAAGAATTTTAATGATATTAGAAAATCCACATAAAAACTATATATAAAGTTTTAATCTTATATAACAAATATACATGGGAAAATTTTTAAAGAAATATAATAAAATGGTAATAGTGTATGGATATGTAAAATGTGTGATTTTCATATTCATTTTTATACTATTCTACCTAAAGTTTTTTTCTGTAGTGAATACATATTACTCTTATAATCAGGAAAAAAAGTTTAAAACAATGACTGTTGTTTGGTCTAGTTTTGAGAATACACCATACTTCCATAAAGGAGATAATTATGTGGCCTGATAAAGTGTTGCTTATTTAATGCATAATATTTACAACTGGAAAATAACAAAAGGTAATTTTTCTTTATGTAGTTTCATATTCCTTTTTGGAAAATTTCAGAAAATAACTTAATTGTGAGGATTGTAAAAATGACTTTTATATCTACTGAAAGTAATGTAGCTCTGCCTATTGGCTAATGTACAAATTAACATTGAGAGGTTCTTGATCTGTCTTTTGTAAATGACTTGTGTGAGTTGGAAACTGCTTCATAAATACCCCTGCTTCTCATACTTGAAAAATAGAAATGAACAGATTAATCCAATGGAATTAGTTGAACTACATAAAAACAAGAAATGCCACAAACTGTCTACTCCGCCTCTGTTGTCTGATAGTAGCAAGAAGAGATATTTAGTGAAAGAGAATGTTCATGGCATCATTACTATATTGCTGGTGATTAGCACTTCCATCAAAGAATAAGAAGTGGTAAAACCCAGAGAAATAAAAGTTACTGAGCATATATAGGGAAAAATAACATTGTACAATGTTAACATTTAAGGCTAAAACTGGTGTAACGGTTAAGAACAATGTTTGCCTGCTAGTAAAAGATACAAAGTGGCTTAACCAGATAGGAATTTATTTATTTTTCCACAAAAATGAATCCATAGTAATTCAAAGGCTGGTATAGTGGCTTCATGATGTCATTAGTGTCCCATTATTCATCCATCATTTTGCTCCACCATCTGTAGTATGTAGCCTCTAACGTTATCACTGAACTTTAGCCAGTGGAAGGAGGAAGAGGAAAAGGCAAAAGAGCCTGCCCCCTGAGACTATCCTCTTTTTAAGCTTTTCTAGTAACCCTAACCAGTAACTGAGACCTATATCCTTTTGGCTAACCTCAGTCAAAAATTCATTTCTATCTGCCAAGGGAAGCTAAGAAATACAATTTTTAGCTGGGCACAATTGCCACCCATAGCAAAATCAAGGTTCTATTAATAAAGATGAAAATAAATTTTGGGCATATATATTGGTCAGGGAACTTTGTAATCTGATACAATTAGTGTTTTTGTTTTTTGTTTTTTGTTTTTTTTAAAAGAACATGTTCTTTGATTTTCATTGTAGTGGCATTTCCTTTTCAGGGAATGTGGGGCAGCAAAGCCTGTTATTCTGTTGATTTCTCCTTTAGACTTACCTATACATTCTTTATTAACTATTCACAATTCTGCTAAGTCTTAACAGATTTCTCACCTTAGATTTTTTTATGCACTTCACTTAGAATCAAATGATCTGGGTTTGTTATCTAGCTCTGCCACTAATAAGCTATGTGATATAAGGCATTTCATTTAACTTTAGTCAATTATTCATTCGTTTTTTATATTTATGAATACTTTTTGAGCTAGGCACTATGTATATGAAGTAAAGAAGACAGGAGTGGATGGCCTCTACCTTCACAAAGTTTTCTAGGTAATGCAGATTAGGTATTTACAAAATAAAAATGAACTTGTGAGAGCCTCATTTTTCTTATGATAAAATGGGAATAGTAGCATAGCACTTCATAATTCTTGTGAAGGTTAAATAAGATAAAATTTAATAAATGAAAAGGTAGTTTTTATAATCTATAAAGCCTTATTAACTTGGTGGGCATTCTTTTTATTACTCTTAAGTAACTCTTGGCATAATCCAGTAGCAGTCATTCAGCCCCCTTATATCACAACCCATGATCTTATCTTCTCCAACTAAGTTTGTGATGAGTTCTCATTTTATTCAAGTAAGTTTTATCTCAGTTTTCTCTGAAGCCACTACCATTTACTCCCATGGTGGATTCCATTTCTTATACTTCTGGAGAAAACCCTGTTTGCATTTAACAAGCTATATTCTGCCTCTCCATAATATCTTTGGTCATTCATTCATTCAAAACGAAATTTTTGAGCACCTAGAATGGACTAGGCATTGGAAATACAGAAGGGGCAAGTCTTGACCCAACAGACTATAAATCTAATTGGGAAAACAAACTTTAAACAAATAGTTTAGAGGAGCGAATGGGGAGAAAAGGAGTAAAGGGAAAATTGAATGGAGAGTTTATCCTTATTAGGAAGGAGAATTACAGTGGTTTATTTTCCTTCTAAATATGATTGACTATTCAATGTCCTCCCAAAGTCACTATGTAAATATATGAAAGTGAAGCGCTCTGAAAAAAGTGATATATATATATATATTTAAGTAAATGTTAACTATTTAATTAACTTAAATGTTAACTGTTTACTTAAATATTAACTATTAATAACTTCTCATATGTTATAGACTCTTGGTTATACCTAATATTAAATTAACATTTGTACATCATTTTATCATAATTCAAGATACCCTGTCTTGCCTTCCCCAGTGCCTAACTAAATGTTTATTAGATACATATAGCTTTATGTTAAAAGCATGGGGTTTGGTGTCAATTCCTACCCTCAACTCACTTAACCATGTGATTTGAGGACAAGTTACTTAAACTTTCACAAAAAAAAACAAACCCTACTATATGGGGTTGCAGTCAGGGTTAAATGAATGTATAAAGCAATTAATGCTGTATCTACTTCATTGTAAGTGTTCCATAAATGTTCTGTATCTTTATCATTTAAGTTTTGTGCTCTTTCTATAAATCCTTTGTTGCCTTTTTACTTAGCTGTTGGTGGAATCAAATATAATGCCTCTTTAATATAAGTCAAATGTTTGTTTTTATTTTACTGTACTGGTTATTTGTCTCCCTGTTTCCCTAGGCATAGTGGACATAGGTGTGAATAATGTCCAGGAGTTGCTTGTTGCAGCGGACATGCTACAATTGACTGAAGTTGTTAATCTTTGCTGTGCATTTCTGAAAGGACAAATTGATCCACTGAACTGCATTGGAATCTTTCAGTTCTCTGAGCAAATTGCCTGCCATGATCTTTTGGAATTCACAGAAAACTATATTCATGTCCATTTCTTGGAGGTTCAGAGTGGGGAAGAGTTCCTGGCACTTACAAAAGATCAGCTGATCAAAATTTTGCGAAGTGAAGAGCTTAGCATTGAGGATGAATACCAGGTCTTCTTAGCTGCAATGCAATGGCTTCTCAAAGATCTGGGAAAAAGAAAAAAATATGTGGTGGAAGTGCTAGACCCAATTCGATTTCCTTTACTACCTCCTCAGAGGCTTTTAAAGTATATAGAAGGTAATTTTTTGTTGTATATCAGTCAACTACTTATCCAATGGCTTTTTTGCTTTCTGAAATGTGATAGTATTTTTATTTTTCAGTTCAATAGCAGACATTTATTGAATGATTACTATATGTAAGATACAGATTTGTGTTTTTATGGGTAGTTATATTTCCATATTTCTACCTTTTTTTTCTTTTTAAATATATTTTATATTTTACAGAGAGGAAGGAAGAGGGATAGAGTGTTAGAAACATCGATGAGAGAGAAACATCGATCAGCTGCCTCCTGCACACCCCCTACTGGGGATGTGCCCACAACCAAGGTACATGCCCTTGACTAGAATCGAACCTGGAACCCTTCAATTCGCAGGTTGACACTCTATCCACTGAGCCACACTGGTTAGGGCTTCATATTTCTACCTTTATTTTAATAAAATCCTTATGTACCTTTCTTGAAATTAAATACTAATAGAGATTAGAGCTATAGATAAAATTACTGACTGAGCTAAAATACTATTGTTTTTGGCAGTACTAATTATTTCAGGATAAGATTTCCTCTTGTCGCTTTTAAAAAGTCAGCAAAACCTAACAGTTGAGGAAAATGCATATGCTAAAAACAAAAACAAAACTTAATAAATCCTGTAAGTCCTCTCATTATAAAATAAATTTTATATTGATATATCATAGCTCCTTAGTGCCTTTGAATCATCTTTAGGTTCTAAACTTTGAAAATACTTTTCACCATAGTATAAAATAGTTTTTATCTTTATATTAGAAAAATGATAATATTTAAATTTATTTTTTTAAACTACTTTAGACTTGATTTCAAGATTTGAAGGTTTTCTTGTTTGTTGTTTTTGTTAATCCTCACCTGAGAATATTTTTCCATTGATTTTTCGGGAGAGTTAAAGAGAGAGGGAAAGACAGACAGAAATATTGATGTGAGAGAAACACATCGATTGGTTGCCTCCTCCTGCACGTGTCCAGACCAGGGCCAGAGAGGAACCTGCAACCAAGCTATGTGCCCTTGACCAGAATTGAACCCAGGACCCTTTGGTCCACAGACTGACACTCTATCCACTGAGACAAACCGGCAAGATTTGAAGTTTTTACTCTTGTCCTACACTGAATGAAACTTGAGGATGTGACTGAATTATAAATAATGTAAGAGCTAATTCTCTGGACATCTTTTCTACTTTAGTTTACTTTGTTTCTCCCATCTAAAATTTGAGATCTAGGTGTTACTTTCTCACCACTTCTTTCTAACTTGAGACATGAAAGAAGTGGAAGAATGGAGATTTGCTAAGGCTGAGGTCCTTCCTTAGGGACTTGGTTCTGAGCTTTCTTATGAGATCCTAATATTGATCTTGTGTCAGGACCTACTTACTTAACCCAGCCAAGGATGTATCTCATATAGACTTTGGCTAGCAAGGTGCTCTGTTAGATGGCAAACTCTGGCGATCCTCTCTACCTTTACTGCTGGTCCTATAAGGGATTTTCCTTTTATTGGTCTTGTTCTTTGACTTCTCAACTTGGCTTCTTAACTGCTCATTCTACCTCTCTCCAAATAATTAGTTATTAGTAAGAATTCTCAAGATTTTTTAAATTGACCTTCTTTCCTCAATATTGCATCTGAGATGTAGGGACAAGCCTAGGAGATAGTCCCTTGCTAGCATAAATGGGCCTTAGTGCAAATTTGAAAATAGTGCCCTTTTAGGGGGTCTTAGAGCTTTCCAGATGGGATACAGGTTGACTTTCATCCCCAGTTCACCTCCTCATCTAAGTACTGTTGAGCAGGAAAAACCTACCCAATCATGCTCAAAGTCTCTAGGAAATGGATCTCATCCCAGCAGCTCATCCCAATAGCTCTTTTGTTTCTTGCTTTGACTATAATTTTTTAAAGTTTATGACATATTTTATACCCTTTTGTTATTAGGTTGTATGTATTGAATTTTGGGCTACTTTTTTTTCATTTTGTTAAATAATTGTGATTCTATTTCACCTTGCCATCTTTATTTAGAAATCCTCATACATGTATTTTAAAATTGTCTAGTATGAAGCATTTATTAAAAATATTTTTTTATTGATTTCAGAGAGGAAGGGTGAGGGAGAGAAAGATAGAAACATCAATGATGAGAGAGAATCAATGATTGGCTGCCTCCTGCACACCCCCTACTGGGGGGTGAGCCCACAACATGTGCCCTGACCAGGAATCCAACTGTGACCTCCTGGTTTATAAGTCGACGCATAACCATTGAGCAACACGAGTTGGGCTGAAGCATTTTTTTAAAAAATATGTACTTATTGATTTTAGAAAGAGAGAGAAACATCAATTTGTGCCCTAGCCATTGTGGCTCAGTTGGTTGAGCATCATTCTTACAGGGTTTTGTTTAAAAGGTTGCCGGTTCAATTTCTGTTCAGGGCACATGTCCAGGTTGCAGGTTCGATACCCAGTAAGGATGTTTTCGGGAGGCAACCAACGAATGTTTTTCTCTCATGTTGATGTTTTGCTCCCTTTCCCTTCCTCTCTCTCTCTCTAACAATCAATAAAAAACATATTAAAAAGAAAAAGAAACATTGATTTGTTGTTCTACTTATTTATGCATTCATTGGTTGATCCTTATATGTGCCCTGACCTGGGATAGAACCTGCAACCTTGGCATATCAGGCAACACTCTAACCAACTGAGCTACCTGGTCAGGGCCATGAAGCATATTTTTAAAAACAATCTTTGGCCCAGCCAGCGTGACTCTGGTTGAGTGTCAACCTATGAGGTCACGGTTTGATTCCCGATTATAGGCTTGATCCCCAGTGGGGGGCATGCAGGAGGCCGCTGATCAGTGTTTCTCTGTCATCATTGATGTTTCTCTCTCTCTCTCTCTCTCCCTCAAACTTCCTCTTTAAAATCAATAAAAATATATTTTAAAAAATAATCTTTGATTTAAGGAAAGTACATTTTTTAGTAGCAATGAGAAAAATAATATTTGGTATTATAGGAAATGGTGTGGTTAAATCACACCATTGTTTGATGATGAGTTTTTTATTTTTTGATTGTCAATTATTTTTATGTAAGCATATCTTTTCAGTATTTAAAAGTTGATTAAGCATTATCTTTTTAAACATTACTTTAGGAGTATCTGATTTTAATCTTCGTGTTGCATTGCAAACACTTTTGAAAGAGTACTGTGAGGTGTGCAAATCTCCCAAAGAGAACAAGTTTTGTAGTTTTCTGCAGACGTCTAAGGTTCGACCTCGGAAGAAAGCAAGAAAGTATCTGTATGCAGTAGGTGAGAGCATTTATTTATTTATCTTTCTCTTTTTACATTGTATTTATTGGAGTGACATTGGTTAATAAAATTATATAGGTTTTAGATGTACAATTTTACAATATACCATAGTTGATAGAGGTTATCTTTTTTTCAGGATCAAAATCTTTTAATATTTTATTGTTATTATACATGTCAGAATATTCAGGTGTGTCAAATAGACATATTTAATTTTACATGCAGACTACAGATTTATAAATTGTAGTTATAGAATACAGTGAACACATCTAAAAATTAAATAGCTACTCATTTGACATTATTCTGTGATCTGAATATTTGGTTCTTAGATTACTCAATTATTGTCAATAACTGACTACAGAAATATTACTTTAAAAGTTGAAAATTTGCTTTAAAAGTATCTGATTTTATTTTATTTTATTTTTTTAATATATTTTATTGATTTTTTACAGAGAAGAAGGGAGAGGGATAGAGAGTTAGAAACATCGATGAGAGAGAAACATTGATCAGCTGCCTCCTGCACGCCCCCCATTGGGGATGTGCCCGCAACCAGGGTACATGCCCTTGACCGGAATCGAACCCGGGACCCTTGAGTCCACAGGCCGACGCTCTATCCACTGAGCCAAACCGGTTCGGCTAAAAGTATCTGATTTTAATCTTTGTGTTGCATTGCTGGAAGAAAAATGAACCTCAAAAATATTAACTATTCTCAGTGTCATAGATGGTCATTAGGGATGATAAGAACCAATGGTCTCCAAAGTGTGGGTGTGCAGGATAATCCATAGGCATATCAGATGAACATATTAAAGCCTCTCTTTCTTTTTATTTTAAAAAACATTAAACCATATCAGTATTTGATATATATATACATATTGACAGATCGCCTAGATTTATATAGATAATATAATTTATATATAAATATTTTCTGTATAATTTATATGTATGTAACTATAACTAGAGGCCCGGTGCACCAATTTGTGCACGGGGGCGAGGAGAGGAACTTTGGGAAGTTGGCTGGTCAGGGTGAGCGGTGGGACTGTGGGAGGTTGGCTGTGGGAGTGCACTGACCACCTGGCCACCCGGGGGGAGGGACCGTGGGAGATTGGTTGGCCGCGGGAGGTTGGCTGTGGGAGCGCATTGACCACCAGGGGGCAGCTCCTGCTTTGAGCGTCTGCCCCCTGGTGGTCACATCATAGTGCACATCATAGTGACCGGTCGTTTGGTTGTTTGGTTGTAACTGTCGCTAGGCTTTTATATATATAGATTTTATATATGCTATAATGTATAAGTATGTAATTTTTTAGTGCATGCTAAACTTTTTTAATGAGATGTGCAGTCAAACGTGAATTTCAACTTGCTATTTTTTTTTAATATGTTTCTATTAATTTTTTTAGACAGAGAGGAAGGGAGAGGGAGAGAGAGAAAGCGATCTGCTGCCTCCTGTACACCCCCTAATGAGGTTTGAGCCCACAACTACAGTGTGTGCCTTGATCAGGAATCGAACCAGCAACCTCTTGCTGCATGGGATGACACTCAATCAACTGAGCCACACCAGCAGGGCTCAATTCACAATTTTTATTTGAAAGAGACACTAATAGAGATCATAATGGAACTTTTTAAAAAATATGTTTTTATTGATTTCTTTTCCTTTTTTTTTTTTCCAAAGCGAGAGAGAGAGAGAGAGAGAGAGAGAGAGATGAGAGGGAGAGGGAGAGGAAGGGTAAGGGGTGGGGGGAGAGAGAGAGAGAGAGAGAGAGAGAGAGAGAGAGAGAGAGAGGAAGAGAAACATTGATCCCCTGCTTCCTGCATGCATCCTGACCAGGGATGGAGCAAAACGTGGGCATGTGCCTTGACTGAGAATCAGACCGTGACCTTTTGGTGCACAGAATGAAGCTCAACCAACTGAGCCCCACTGCCCAGGGCAGAAACTTTTTAACTAGACAGATAACCAGCTCCTAGATTATGTTTTTTGTTTTTTTGGGTTTTGGTTTTTTTGTTGTTGTTAATCCTCACCCGAGGATATTTTTTCCCTGTTGATTTTTTTAGAGACAGTGGAAGGGAGTCAGGGAGAGAGAGAGAGAGAGCATCAATGTGAGAGAGACACATGGATTGATTGCCTCCCACACACACACACACACACACCCCCCCCCGCCCCGAACCAGGGCTGGAGATCAAACCTGCAACCTGGGTGCATGCCCTTGACCAGGAATGGAACCCGAGAGTCTTTGGTCTGCGGGCCAACACTCTAACCACTGAGCAGCACCAGCAAGGGCTAGATTTATGTTTTATCTAATGTTCTATATAACTAAGACCAGGTAGTACAACATTGTGGTTAATTCACTTTATTTAAGCCATAATCTTTCAGGACTTGGCACATTTAAATATATGGCAAGCTCTAAAGCATTTATTCTTTGCTATAAAATAGTTACACTGAATGTCTAGATGTAGATGGTTAGATTTTTCTCCTTATTACCATTTCCGTATTTAGCGGTAAGGGATTTGCTATGGTCCTTCTTTCCTTCCTTTGTTCAGGTGGATATACTCGGTTGCAGGGTGGTCGTTGGAGTGATAGCAGAGCCCTCAGCTGTGTAGAACGTTTTGACACCTTTAGCCAGTATTGGACCACTGTATCTTCACTTCACCAAGCTCGATGTGGGCTGGGAGTAGCAGTTCTGGGAGGGATGGTCTATGCTATTGGAGGTAATGATGAGAATGTCTTATTTCCCTTATTAATCTTTAGCTATAAGTTGGCTTATAGCTAAATTCTTATATGCTTTACATATGTTGTGAGGCTATGGGGTATACATAGCTACATTGTGCTTAATAAATATTTATTGAATAAATGAGTGAAAGAAATTAAAAGAAAACACAAGATATTGAATATTTCAGACCAGAGGGATACTATAATTTATTATAAGGCAGAATACTTAAGTTTGATGTTGTGTGGGTTTTTTTTTGTTGTTGTTGTTGTTATTGTTGTTGTTTTAAATATATTTGTATTGATTTCAGAGAGGAAGAAAGAGAGATAGAAACATCACTGAGGAGAGAGAATCATCGATTGGCTGCCTCCTGCACAACCCACACTGGGGATCAAGCCCACAACTCGGGCATGTGCCTTGACCAGGAATCGAGCCATAACCTCCTGGTTCATAGTTCAACACTCAACCACTGAGCCACACTGGCTGAGCACTGTTTTTTAATTGCTTTTTAAAATACATATTTTATTGATTTCAGAGAGAGAGAGAGAGAGAAAAACATCAATGATGAGCCCTAGCCCAGTGATGGCGAACCTATGACACTCGTGTCAGAGGTGACACGCGAACTCACTTTTTTGGTTGCTTTTTCTTTGTTAAATGGCATTTAAATATATAAAATAAGTATCAAAATATAAATCTTTGTTTTACTATGGTTGCAAATATCAAAAAACTTCTATATGTAACACGGCACCAGAGTTAAGTTAGGGTTTTTCAAAATGCTGACACGCCGAGCTCAAAAGGTTCGCCATCACTGCCCTAGCCGGTTTGGCTCAGTGTATAGAGTGTTGGCCTGTGGACTAAAGGGTCCTGGGTTCGATTCTGGTCAAGGGCACATGCCCAGGTTGCGGGCTCAATCCCCAGTGTGGGGCATGCAGGAGGCAGCTGATCAATGATTTTTCTCTCGTCATTGATGTTTCTATCTCTCTTTCTTCCTTCTCTGAAATCAATTAAAAAAAAATTTTTTTTTAAATATATTTTATTGATTTTTTACAGAGAGAAAGGGAGAGGGACAGAGAGTTAGAAACATCAATGAGATGAGAGAAACATCAATCAGCTGCCTCCTGCACACCTCCCACTGGGGACGTGCCCGCAACCAAGGTACATGCCCTTGACCGGAATCGAACCTGGGACCCTTCAGTCCGCAGGCCGACGCTCCGTCCACCGAGCCAAACCGGTTTCAGCTAAAAAAAATTTTTTAAAGAAAAGTTGTTCATACAATGTGGCACCAAAACTTAGGTTGATATTTATCATTAAAAAATTTTTAAATTCTGAAAGCTTCATTACAAATCATTTTTAATTAATCAAGTTATCCAGATAGTGGGACATACAAAAACCAAGTCAACTAGATATTTGGATATATTTCTTGATTGAAATCATTGTGTTTTCTGAAACTATTATTGTGAAATATATGCTCCAGCAACTGAACCACATTCAACAAGGCTCTAAATACTGTTTTAAAAAATTAAGATATAATTCACATACCATCAAATTCACCATTTAGAGTATATAGTTCAGTGGTTTTTAGTATATTCACAAAGTAGCGCTACCATCACTACTCATTCCAAAACATTTTCATCTCTGCAAAAAACTTCTCTTATCATTTAGGGAAATTTATTTTTTTAATTTTATTTATTTTAGAGAGGAAGGAGAGGGAGAGATAGAAACATCAATGATGAGAGAGAATCATTGATCTGATGCCTCCTGCACACCCACTACTGGGGATTGAGCCCGCAACCTGGGCATGTGCCCTTAACTGGAATCGAACCCAGGACTCTTTAGTCCACAGGCCGACGCTCTATCCACTGAGCCAAACCGGGTAGGGCATTTAGGGAAATTTTTATATCAGTGTAGGGAACTGTTTACTAGCCATATTCCCAGACTCCAACCAAGGGTCTACACTTGCAAAGCAAGCCTTTCTAAAGATAGGCAGTCTCAGACCTGCTATGTTAACTTCTGCACAGTAGGAGTTTTGTATACATTCAGGATTCTAGGCCCTCATACAGTTAAATGTGCTGCAAATATCTTTCCTATGCTGCTTCACCGTTCACTTATATGGTATCTTTTTTTATTTTTTACTCTTCTCCCAAAGGTATGTTTTCACTGACTTTAGAGGGGAAGGGAGAGAGAGAAACATCTATGTATGAGAGAAACATCAATTGACTGCCTCCGTTTCTTGCCCCTGCCAACGATCAAACCCACAACCTAGGTAATGTGCTCTGACCGGAAATCAAACCAGCAACCTTTCAGTACCTGGGTTGAGGCTCCAACCAACTTGAGCCACACCAGCCAGGACTTTTTATAGTGTCTTTTGATAAACAAATGTTTTTAATTTTAATGTAGCCAACTCTATTATTTTTCCCCTTTATGGTTAGTGTTTCTTTTACCTTTTTAAAGAAATCCTTCCCTACTCCAAAGTCATGAGGATACATATCTTTACTGCTTTCTAAAATTTTATAGTTTTTCCATGTACATTCATGTCTATAATCTACCTGGAATTGAGTTTTTAAGGATAGTGTGAGTAGAGAACCAGTTTCCTTTATCCCCCCTATATAGATATAACCAATTATCCTAGCATAATAAAACTTTTCTTTCTTCACTGCTCTGCAGTACAAACTGTCTAATGCCTAGTAATCATATATGCATAGATCTGTTTCTAGATTTCTTTTCTGTTCCATTGGTCTATTTGTCTATCTCTATCTTAATTACTATAGCTCTATTTAAATCTAATGAGCTTATCTGATAGGATAGTTTCTCCTTAATTTCTGGGAGTGCTTGCCTATTCTAGATCCTTTGTACTTCCCATATAAATTTTAGAATCATTTTTTTAATAATACTGTATGATTCCACTTATGTGAGGTACTCAGAATAGTCAAAATCTTAAATCCAAGTATAATGGTGATTGCCAGAGGCTGGGAGAGGTAAAAATGAGGAGTTTTTGTTTAATACGTATAGTGTTTCAGTTTGATAAGATGAAAAGGGTTATGGTTGTCATGGCTACACAACATGTGAATGTGTTTAACATCACTGAACTGTAAACTTAAAAATGGTTAAGATAGTAAATTTTATGTTGTGTTAAATGTAACAAAAAAAGATTTTTTTAAAAATTGGGATTATATTATATCTATAAACCAGTTTGGGGATAATGGTATATATATGTAATTTTTTGTTGTTAATCCTCACCTGAGGACATTTTTTCATTCATTTTTAGAGAGAGTGGAAAGGAGAGGGAGAGACAGAGAGAGAGAAATATCGATGTGAGAGAGACACATCAATGGTTGCCTCCCACATGAGCCCTGTCTAGGGCCGGGGATCAAGCCTGCAACCAATGTAGATGCCCTTGACCAGAATCAAACCCAGGACCCTTCAGTCCATGGGCTGACACTCTATGCACTGAGCCAAACTGGCTAGGGCAATAATCATCTTTACATTGACTCTTCTATGTCATGAAGATGATACATCTCATTTATTTAGATCAGGGGTCCTCAAACTTTTTAAACAGGGGGCCAGTTCACCGTCCCTCAGACCTTTGGAGGGCCGGACTATAGTTTAAAAAAAAAACGATGAACAAATTTCTATGCACACTGCATATATCTTATTTTGAAGTAAAAAAACAAAACGGGAACAAATACAATATTTGTATTTGCATGTGGCCCGCGGGCTGTAGTTTGAGGACCCCTGATTTAGATACTCCTTAATTTAAAATTTTATCTAAAGTTAATAAATTTTAACCGTCAAGGTCTTATACAAGCTTTGATTAGATTTACTCCTAGGTATAGTATATTTTTAAATTCTATTTTAAGTAATATCTTTTTTTTATGCTCCTAAGATGTATTATATATATATATATATATATATATATATATATATATATATATAGATAGATATAAAGATAAAGATAGATAAAGATATGGACCTGTATACACATTATATACTTACATTACATATGTATTACACTATGTGTGTTGTGTGTGTGTATATATATATATATATATATATATGATTGGTATCTTCTTTTATGTTGTTATTTAATTGTATGTGTGCTATGGGACTTCTCTCCACAGCTTAAATCATGGTTAAACTGTAGTTTTACCCATTTTCCAATAAATTCCATTAATTTCCACTTAATTTTTTCATATTTTTAGACAAAGTGACTACAGGTATCAAATTCATATATACAACTCAGCGTTTTGTGTGGGTTTTTTAAAATTTATCTTTATTGTTGAAAGTATTATAGATGGCCCCCTTTTGTCCCCATTGACCCCACACCTGTCCCCACCTGTCCCCAGGCCTTCACCACACTATTTTCTGTTTGTTGCTAGATAAGAATTACATTACTAGTAAAACTCAAATTTTACAATTGTCAAAATGCAAATTGTGTGGATTGTTTGGGTCAGTGGTCGGCAAACCGCGGCTCGAGAGCCACATGCGGCTCTTTCGCCCCTTGAGTGTGGCTCTTCCACAAAATACCACGTGCGGGTGCGCACGTACAGTGTGATTGAAACTTTGTGGCCCATGCGCAAAGTCGGTTTTCAGCCTGGGCGAGTCTATTTTGAAGAAGTGGCATTAGAAGAAGTGGGGGTACGTTCGCTGAGGTCGACCCCTCAGATTGAGGATGTTTTTAGCAAAGGCCAGCTTAGGAGTACCCTAATTAAGTTAATAACAATGTACCTACCTATATAGTTTAAGTTTAAAAAATTTGGCTCTCAAAAGAAATTTCAATCGTTTTACTGTTGATATTTGGCTCTGTTGACTAATGAGTTTGCCGACCACTGGTTTGGGTGATAGAATTAGAAATAGATAATAGGAAAATTGTGCCATTACTACATTAAATGGACTTTACTAAATGATAGTGCTATGATTTCAAAATAACACTTGCTGGGCAAATGAATTTTAATAAATAGTATAAAATCAGACATAATAGTTGAATTTCTGACAACATGAAATGCTGCTAAATATTGTGTTATGGTTCTAGACTATTAGCATTACTAAGTCTCCTGATATGTGTCTCTTTTATTTAACATAGGTGAAAAAGATTCAATGATTTTTGATTGTACTGAATGCTATGATCCAGTTACTAAACAGTGGACAACTGTAGCTTCAATGAATCACCCCCGCTGTGGCTTGGGAGTGTGTGTGTGTTATGGGGCTATCTATGCTTTGGGTAATTATGCTGTTCAATTTAAGGATATCTAATGTTATTTAAATTCTTAGATTCTGATTACTTAGAAATTTTCCTTCCCTCCCATAAGAAACATTTTCCTTTCAGCTTTATAAATTATTCTTCTCAAAATACTATTACTTGGGGGATATTGTAAAATGTGGAGTTCTTAGAAAGAGATGGAGATAAAATATAGATGAGATATCCAATGAAACTCTTTAGCTGATAGTTAAACTGCATGACTAGTATAAGCAGGCTAAATATGCAGAAGTTGTTTCAAAAGATAGTTTTGCAAAATACCAAATTTCCTATGCAATATGTTGAAGTTTTAGGTTTATTTTATTTATTTTTAAGTACATTTTTATTTTATTTATTTTTAAAATATATTTTTATTGATTTCAGAGAGGAAGGAAGAGGGAGAGAGATAGAAACAGCAATAATGAGAATCATTGATTGGCTGCTTCCTGCACACCCCACACAGGATCAAGCTTGCAAGCCAGGCATATACCCTGGCTAGAATTGAACCATGACCTGGTTCATAGGTTGGCACTCAACCCCTGAGCCATGGCAGCTGAGCTATATTTTATTGATTTTAAAGAGAGGAAGAGAGTGGGATAGAGAGATAGAAACATCGATGAGAGAGAAGCATCACCAATCTGCTGCCTCCTGCATACCCCCTACTGGGAATTGAGCCTACAATCTGCACATGTGTCCTGACCTGGAATTGAACCGTGAACCAGGAGGCCTACGCTCAACCACTGAACCACACTGGGCGGACTGTTTTGTTTTATTTTAAATTCCTAGTTGAAAATAGGCAGAGAGTTAAAAGATCTGAGTTCTACTCACAGTCAAATTCTAACTTTTCATGGGATCTTGGACAAATAACCCCTCTATTCCATGTGATAATCATCCATAATATGAAGTTGTCAGGTTAGATGTTTTCTAAGGTGTTTTTGATAAATAAGATTCCTTTATCCCAGACATAACATTTTTCTGTTTGGTTATAGGTGGATGGGTTGGAGCTGAGATAGGGAACACCATTGAACGATTTGATCCTGATGAAAATAAATGGGAAGTAGTTGGCAACATGGCTATGTCACGCTACTACTTTGGCTGTTGTGAAATGCAAGGTGATTGATTGCTTTATAAAATGTTTTTCTTGAAAATATCTATAATAATAAAAGTGTAATATGCAAATCGACCGAACGACTGAATAGCAGAACAACTGTCCGGACGACCTTCTGGACAACCACGCTATGACACCCACTGGCGCCAGGCCAGCTAAGGCGGGTGCAATACAATTGGTTGGGGGCCTGGCCATGGCCCCATGATCACCCTGCAGAGGGAGGCCCAGGCCACCGGCTGGTGGGGCGATCAATCAATCGGGGGGCTCCACGATCGCCCCAAAGAGGGAGGCCCAGGTCAACAACCGGCAGGCTGTGGTGGGTGGGCGGGGCCTACTTCTTTGGGGCGATTGATTGTGGGGCTCCCGGACTGAGATGGCACAGGCTAGGCTGAGGGACCCCCCTGCCGAGTGCACGAATTTCATGCATTGGGCCTCTAGTATATTTATAAAAACTGAGCCTGAGGCTTTTATTTACACAAAAGTATATTTATGTCTATTAATGTTTATTAAGTATTTAACATTAACAATATGGAAGTTCTGCTTTTAACCTCATATCTTTTTAACTTCTTATTTCTTTATTTCTGTATTGTCAAATAATATATTTTTCTACAAAATAAACAAAGTTAGAATTTAAAATTACAGATAGGCAAAAACACCTGACTAGCAAAATAAGCATTTAAAATATAATTCTTGCCCTAGCCCGTTCGGCTCAGTGGATAGAGCATCGGCCTGTGGACTGAAGGGTTCCAGGCTCAATTCCAGTCAAGGGCACATGCCTAGGTTGTGGGCTCGGTCCCCGGGTAGAGAGTGTGCAGGAGGCATCAGATCAATGATTCTCTCTCATCATTGTTTCTATTTCTCTCTCTCTCCTCCTCCCTTCCTCTCTCAAATCAATAAAAATATATTTTTTTAAATAAAAATAAAATGTCATTCTTGTCGTGGCTGGTTTGGCTCAGTGATTAGAGTGTTGGCCTATGTGCCGAAGGGTCTCAGGTTCGATTCCTGTTTGTATTATGGTTAATCTAGACCATTAGCATTACTAAATCTCCCAAGGGCACATACTTTGGTTGCAGATTCCCCAGCCCCAATAGGGGTGTATACGGGAGGCAACCAATAGATGTGTCTCTCTCACATCAGTTTCTCTCTCTCTTCCCTTCCACTCTCTAGAAATCAATGGAAAAAATATCCTCGGATGAGGATTAAAAAATAAACTAAATTAAATGTCATTCTTTATTGTTATTTTGTCTCCCATTCAGGCCTTAGCAAGTATTTCTAAGTAAGGAGAGAATATAAAAAACAATCTTCACATTCTCTTATAGGCTTCTTCAGTGTGTTTTTTAATAGGGTACGTTGTGATTCAGGCCACGTAGAATATAATGCTACAATAGATTTGAAAAATGTTGCACTGAATATTAAAATGGTGTACGGAAATTATTTTAATTGTCTATTATACCCTGAGAGATAGGTAGTTCTGTCAAATAAAACCTGATTCTCTGTCCAGAGTTAGAGAGCAAATTTATATGTATCTGCAGAGTAGGAAATAGTCTGCCCATTGTTATATGACAACTCAGCCTACTTTGTTCCCAGCTCAAGTTCTTCCTGCTTTGTGAAGATTTCAACTAGCATTTCTCAGATTTCAACTAGCATTTAAATGTACAAATTACATGGTGCAAACTATATTAATATAATGTTCTCTAGTTGTTTTATATTTATTATTTTTATCTTCCCATCTAAAAATCATAGAGTCAGGCATCTTGGAGATTATCTATTTCAACCCCTTTATTTATAAATGAGGAAGCTGAAGATTAGGAAGGCTGTGAGTTATCTCTTTTCATAGCTGGTTACTAGATAGCTGGAGCTAGAACCCAAGTTTATTAACATATAGCTCACATTTCTTAAAATACCATTAAAGTGAGGAGTTATAACCTATAGCTCCTCACTTTAGAGTGTGGGAAACACACTGGGTACTCAGAAATAATTATAAATTGACAGAACCATTAGTTTCGATCAAATTTAAAAATGAACTTTCTGTGAATTATATTCTATTATACTCTAGTGATTAATCTGGTATTTTAATCTAGCCATATAAATATTATAATTTAAATTCAATTATCTATTTTATGTCCATCTGAGCAACAGGTAGGCTTTCACAGTTTAAGTGCATAATATTTTTAAAAATATATATATATTTTTATTGATTTTAGAGATGAAGAGAGAAAGCGACAGAAACATCAATGATGAAAGAGAATCATTGGTCAGCCTCCTGCACATCCCCTACTGGGGGATTGAGCTAGCAACCCAGGCATGTGCCCTGACTGAGAATCAAATCATGACCTCCTGGTTCTTAAAGTCATTGTTCAACCACTGAGCCATGCCTGCCAGGTTTAAATGCATAATATTTTTTAGGGGGGAAAAAGTCCCTTTCCCTTTCCTTTGTTACCTATACTTGGTAGCATATGGAACTTGAGACCATTAAGCAGACAATAAGATGGGAAATCCTTGTCTGACATTTATTTTCTTATAGCATCATTAGGCTCGTTGAAAATTTAATTACACTGTAAATTCATACCCCTAACTCTTTGTAACATGCTTAAATGTGAGCTGTAATAAACTAGACAGATGTCAATTTTCTGTTAAAAAAAAATTGGTATAGCCCTACATTAAATATAACAAACTGAAATCACAACTTTTGCTAATTATTGTGTCCTATTTTCTATAGCATCTGAGCAAAAATATTCCATTTCCAGGTTTAATTTATGTAATTGGGGGCATCAGCAATGAAGGAATAGAACTTCGTTCTTTTGAAGTTTATGATCCACTTTCCAAGCGTTGGTCTCCACTTCCTCCAATGGCAACCAGAAGAGCATATCTTGGGGTGGCTGCACTCAATGACTGCATATATTCTATTGGAGGGTGGAATGAGACTCAAGATGCTCTTCATACTGTAGAAAAATATTCCTTTGAAGAGGTAGGTTGGATGATTTCAAATATTTAGTAACCTGTTATTCTTTTAATGTCTTTAAGATCTGTAATACTCTAGCCAGTTTGGCTCAGTGGATAGAGCCTGCAGACTGAAGGGCCCCAGGTTCAATTATGGTCAAGGGCACGTACCTCAGCTTCAGGCTCAATCCCTGGCCCTGGTTGGAGCTAGTGTGGAAGGCAACCAATCGATGTGTCTCTCTCATATCAATGTTTCTCTCTCTCTGTCTTCTCCCCCTCACCCACCCTCCACCCTCTCCCCCCCCCCCCCCCCAATCAGTGGAAAAATAGCCTCGGGTGTGGATTAACAACAAAAAAAGATCTGTAGTGATGTACATTCTATCATTCATGATGTTGATCATTGAGGTTTTCTTCTCTTTTCAAAAGAAGTAAATATTGGTGTCATTGATTTTTTTTCTACTTATTGTCCACTTTCTATTTCATTTATTTCTGTTCCTATTTTTTTCCCCCTTCTATTTGTTTTGGGTTTAATTTGCTCTTCTTTTTCTAGGATCTTAAAGTGGAGGCTTATCTGATTGACTTTCAGACCTTTTTTTTCCTATAATGTAAAACTTTAAAGCTATAAATTGTTTTCAAGCACTTCTTTAACTACACCCCGCACATTTTGATATGTTTTGTTTTAATTAGCATTTATCTCAAAATATCTTCTAATTGTCCTGGTAATTCCTTCTTTGACCAATGAGTTGTTAGAAATCTGTTATTTAATTTCCAAATATTTGGGGGGTTTCCAGATATCTTTGTGTCAGCGATTTCTAATTTAATTTCATTGTGATCAAAGAGCATACTTTGTGGTGGTAAATATTTCATGTGCACCTGAAAATAATTTGTTTTCTGCTGTTGTTGAGTGTATAAATGTCAGTTAAATCAAGTTGATTAGTGTTGTTCAAGTATGTCCAACTTGTCTCATTGTTTTGTAAATTACTAAGAGAGAAGTGTCGAAATCTCCACCTATCATTATGGATTTGTCTGTTTTTCCTTTACATCTCTGAATGTTTGTTATTAAGTCTCCACACATTGAGATTATTATGTCTTCTTGATTAATTGATCCTTTCATAGTATGAAGTGTTTTTCTTTACCTCTGTAATAACCTTTGTTCTGAAGTCTACTCTGTCTGACATTAATGCAACCATTAATGTAGCCAAGTTGTGTTTTGATTAGTATTTGCATGGTATATCTTTTTTTTTCCCTTCTACTTTAAATCTATGTCTTTACAAACTGCATCTCTTGTAGGATAACATATAGTTGTGGTCTATGTTTTTTATGCAGTTTGGCAATGCCTGACTTTCAAATGGAGTCTTTAGAGTTTTTACTATTTATATGTAACATCATTACAGATATGGATGGTTTTTAGACTTTTATTTTGTTGTTTTTTTATTTGTATAATCCATTTCTTTATCCTTTCCCCCCTTTTCTATCTTTAAGTTGATTGTTTCTTTTATTTTGCAATTAACCATATCTCTTCACCTTTTTTCTAAGAGATTTAGGGCTTACATTATTTATTATATAAATTTACATTATATACATATATATTTCAGTGTATCAAATTTAACTTCAAATAATATTATACTACTTCATTTTCAATGTAAAAAACTTACAAAAACTTACTTTCATGCCCAACTCTAATCCTTTGTGCTATTTTATTTCTGTATTTATTGTTACAGTTACTTAAACAATAAATTATATTTGAAATACATTTTTAATGAGAAAGTCTTCGATAACTATGGATATATTTACCATTTCTAGTTTTATTTATTCTTTTCTGCAGAGCTCAGTTTGTATCTCATATCATTTTCTCTTAGCCTAAAGAACTTTTAAAAGTATTTCTTTCAGTGTTGCTCTGCTGGCAATGATTCTCTTAGCTTAGCTTAACTTCCATTTTCTGAAGTTTCTTTTTTCCACCTTCACTTCTAAAGATATTTTGCTGAATATAGAATTATAGGTTGTTGAGTGTTTTTTTCCTTACCTTAAGATGTTTATCTTCTTGCTTTGTTTCTGACGGGAAGTCAGTTGTCATTCTTACCCCGTTTTCCCTGTATGTAATGTGTCTTTTTTTCTTTGGCAGCTTTTAAGATTTTCTCTTTATCATGGGTTTCCAGTAACTTGATTATGTGTTTCCTATTGGAGTTTTGTGTTTAACATACTTGGAATTCATTGAAATTCTCGAATCTTTGGGATTATAGCTTCCATCAATGTTGTCAGCCATATTTCTTCAAATATTTTCTTGCTCTCTTACTGGGACTTCAATAATAGGCATGTAAGATCACTTGATATTATCCCACAGGTCACTGAGGGTCTTAAATTTTTTTCCATCTTCTTTTCTCTTTGTTCTTCAGTTTGTTTTTATTTTCCAGCTTTATTGAGATATAACTGACATATAAAAGTTGCATATATTAAGGTGTACAGTGTGACATTTTGATATACATCCTATATAATAAAAGTGTAATATGCTAAGTGTCGGACCGATCCGTTGACCGCTCAACCAGTCATATGATGTGCACTGACCACCAGGGGGCAGACACTCCAACCAGTAGGTTAGCTTGCATCCCCGATCACAGGCCAGGCCAAGGGACCCCATCTGTGCATGAATTCGTGCACCAGGCCTTTAGTTGACATTATAAAATGATTATCACAATAAGGCTAATTAATATATCCATCACCTCACATAGTTTCCTGTTCCTTTTTTTGAGTGTGGTGAGAGCACATAAGACCTGCTTTCTTAGCAAATTTCAAGTATAGAGTATAATATTATTAACTATAGTCACCATGCTGAACATTATCTCTCTAGAACTTATTTACCCTGCATAATTGAAACTTTGTTCTCTGTGCTTCAGTTTGGATAGTTTCTATTGCTGTGTCTTTAAGTTCATTAAACTTCTGCATATCTAAACTTCTAATTTGTAGTGTCTAAGCCACTATAGGGAATTTTTCATTTCAGATACTGTATTTTTTAGCTCTAGAAGGTTTTTTGTTTGCTTATTTGTTTGTTTTGTTTTCCACTTCTCCCATCACAATGTTTATGCTTTCCTTTAGAACCTTGGAAATATTTATATCTGGGGCTTTTAAATTTTATTTTTCAATTATAGTTGACACAATATATTACTTTCTGGTATGTACAACATAGTGATTAGCCATTTATATACCTTACGAAGTAATTACCACAATAAGTCTAGTACCCATTTGATACCATACAGAGTTATTATAATATTATTGACTATATCCCCTAATGATAAACATAACCCCAACATCCTAGTTTATATTAATCAGCTATAGATATTTTTGTGAATATATCTGTCTTTTAAAATATTTTTTTTAGCTATGCCAACTTTGTGATATGTTCTATAATTTCAGATAATCAAATAACCTTTAAATTGATTCTTCAGTTTCGGAGGACTTGCTGGGTTCATTTAAGTTCAAATCAGCAAACACACATTGACTTTCTATAATGTGCTGCAGCTATACTGGATACTGGGATGTGATGCTCATTAAGTCCCTGTCCTCAGGGACTAAACTTGACCTGGTAGCTCAGTTGGTTAGAATGTAGTCCTGATACACCAAGGTTGAGGGGTCAATCCCCTGTCAGGGCACATACAAGAATCAACCAATGAGTGCATAAATAAGTGGAACAATAAATTGATATTTCCCCCTCTCTCTCTCCCTCTATGCCTCCCTTCCTATCTCTCTCAAATCAATCAATAATTTTTTTATTTCACTTTCTAGCATTGGGGAATAATCATTGTTCACTTTTCATGATTTTATAAACTTTGTTCATCATTTACTTTATTCCCGGGATCCTTTATACCTGGCTACTTGCTCATTTCTCTCTTGATTATTTCCCAGGACCTTTATTAACTTTTCTATTTTCTGGGTATAGAATTTTCTCTGAAGTAGGGATTTATAACTCATTTTGGCTATAGCAGCTTATTGAAATTTCTTCAGGAAATAACGTATACCAGGAGTTAGCAAACTTTTTGTTCAAGGGCCACAATCTCTTCTTTTGGCATTTTTATATTTATTTATTTACTTATTTTTTTAATCCTCACCGGAGGATATTTTTCCATTGATTTTAAGAGAGTGGAAGAGAGGGAAAGACAGAGAGAAATATCGATGTGAGAGATACACATCAATTGGTTGCATCCTGCACATGCCCTCACCAGGGCCCAGGCTGGAGAGGAACCTGTAACTGAGGTACATGCCCTTGACCAGAATCGAACCTGGGACCCTTTGTTCCACAGGCCGACACTGTATCCACTGAGCCAAACTGGATAGGGGTATTTTTGTTTGTTTCTTATATGTTTGTATTGATTTTTATTTTTTATTTATTTATTTTTTTATTTTTCATTTTCATTTGTCTCTGGCAGGGCCTGGTGGCAATTTAATATTCTTTTTTTAAAAAAATAATTTTTATTTCTTAAAGTATTACAAAGAGTATTGCATATGACTCCTTTTTCCCCCCCTTGACATTCCCCTGGCCTCCCCTACCCCCCAGTGTCTTGTGTCCATTTGTTATTCTTATATGCATGCATATAAGTCCTTCGGTTGATCTCTTAACCGCCCCCCAAACCCTCCCCAGGCTTCCCACTGTAGTTTGACAGTCTGTTCAATGCTGCTCTGCCTCTGCATCTATTTTTGTTCATCAGTTTATATTGGTCTTTATTATCCGTTTCAACCTCACCAGGGCCGTCCCAATGTATTGATTTTTAGAGAGGAAGGAAGAATGAGAAAGAGATAGAAACATTGATGAGAGAGACACATCGATTGGCTGTCTCCTGCATGCCCCCTGTTGGAGATTGAGCCCACAACCTGGGCATGAGCCCTGACCTGGAATTGAACCTGGGACCTCTTGGTCCATGGGATGACGCTCAATCCACTGAGCCATACCAGCCTGGCTTATTTTTGTTTGTTTTTTAATAACTTTTTAATGTGGAAACAATTCTTAGTTTGTAGTCTTATACAAATAGGTTTCCCACCCCTAATCTATACTACTTTTCTGAAATATGTTTTGCAGTCACTAACTCCACCAGATGGTCCTTGCAAAAAGGATTACATGGTTAAATAAATTTGGCAAGTGTTTTTTTGCTATGTCACTCACATAGAGATCTATAAGGCTCATTAGCATTTCAAAGACTTTTTAAAGCCCTTCTGTAAACTGTAGATAAGCACTTATCTTCTAGGACAGCCGTTCTCAACCTGTAGGTGGCCCCTTTGGGGGTTGAACGACCCTTTCACAGGGGTTGCCTAAGACCATCGGAAAACACATATATAATTACATATTGTTTTTGTGATTAATCACTATGCTTTAATTATGTTCAATTTGTAACAATGAAATTGGGGGTCACCACAACATGAGGAACTGTATTAAAGGGTCGCGGCATTAGGAAGGTTGAGAACCACTGTTCTAGGAGCTTTGTGGGTTTGTGATGTGTGTGTGTGTTAGTGTGTGTGTACGCACATTACCTACTTGTATTCCATAGAACTAGTTTTTCAGAATGCCTGCCTATATAGAGTCTCTAGATTTATTTTCTGATAATAATTTATAATTAATCACAGACTTTTCAATTATTTTCCTCTAAAATTACTACTTTGTCTACATCTACTTGAAAGTTTATTTTAAAATGTTCTATATACTGTTGTGACTGGATTGTAAGTTTGAAATTTAAACATAAAAAGAACCATAGTATCTGCTTTCTTCACAGTTTTCTCTATTATTATTTTATGACACTGCTAACTTATTTTTTTCTCTTAACCAGGAAAAGTGGGTTGAAGTTGCCTCAATGAAAGTGCCTAGAGCAGGCATGTGTGTTGTGGCAGTCAATGGGCTTCTGTATGTTTCTGGAGGTCGATCTTCCAGCCATGATTTCTTGGCACCAGGTACCTTGGATTCAGTTGAAGTTTATAACCCTCATTCAGATACATGGACTGAAATAGGTAATATGATCACCAGTCGTTGTGAAGGAGGTGTTGCTGTACTATGAACTATAAACTGTAAGAGAGCACAAGAAACATTTTGAAAATATAGGTTCTGACTTTTTGCAAATCACACATATATTTGGTCATAGGACCCTTTGATTCTGTTGAGTTTTCCATGTATTTGATAAATAACTAAAGATTATTTTTCTAAGAATTTGAGTGAAAAGGATATGGATTATGTCCTAAATTAATAAAGAGCTCACAAAAATTTGCCACACTTACTAATAGAAATGCTATTTATGTTCAAGAATTGTTCAGTTAGGAGTAGAGTCCTACTTGTAAAAATTATTTACTAGAAACTTCTTGGCAAATAGCCCCTTTAGCAGCTTCTCCAGTGGAATTCAAGCTGTAACATGACCTTGTGTGATATAAAAATATCAGTGGAACAGTTTCAAGATGTCGAAATTCATAATGTAATCCAGAGCACAATTTTTCTTTTTCTTTTTTCTTTTCTTTTCTTTTTTTTTTTTTGTTAATCCTCGCCCAAGGATATTTTTCCATTGATTTTTAGGGACAGTGGAAAAGAAAGGGAAAGATGGAGAGAAATATCAATGTGATGGATGTCAATGAGTTGTCTCCTGCATGAGCCCCGACTGGGGCCCAGGCCAGGGAGGAGCTTGCAACCAAGGTAGGTGCCCTTGACCGGAATCGAACCTGGGACCCTTTGGTCCACAGGCCGACGCTCTATCCACTGAGCCAAACTGGCTAGGGCCAGAGCACAATTTTTCTTGGCCATAGTTTAATTTATAGTGAATAGCCAATGAAACAACATACTACTTTTACTTGATGCTAGGAGTTTCACTAGCCCCAAACTTTTAAAAAATATATATTTGTATTGATTTCAGAGAGGGAAGGAGAGGGAGAGAGAGTTAGAAATATCAATGAGAGAGAATCATTGATTGCTTACCTCCTGCATGCCCCACACTGGGGATCGAGCCTGCAACCCAGGCATATGCCCTGAGTGGGAATCAAACAGTGACTTCCTGGTTCATAGGTCGACGCTCAGCCAGTGAGCCACACCTACCAGGGCTAGCCTCATACTTTTTCTTGGCAGCAGATATATGGGAGGGACATATATAACCACTGTTAGAAACATCTAGCTACTTATATAGAGAGATAACAGCATAAAAAAAAGCTTTTGCTCACATCTTTTGTCTTGATGCTGAGAATGCAAATAATTAAGAGGAGGTTCTTAGTGATAGTCCTTTATTGCAATAGGATGATGGAATGGGTGATAGAGCCCAGTAGGTGGTATGCACCTACTATATTTTTCCCCTATTTTCTAAATAGGCACCAAAAATATGTTTGGCTTTGGGAAGATGGAATTTTATTAGATCATCTAGCTTTGTAAAGTTTACTTGTACTTGGGCAAGCCTAAGTATGAGCTTATTACAAAGCTACTGCCTGGCTTGAAGAAGGTAGAATTTTAGATACCTGTGAAAATTTTTATAGACACTGACTCATAAGATGAAAGGCTTCTGATTCAAAACTACTTCTCAAAACTTATTTTTTCCCTGAGAAGCATTTTAAAGAATTGTTCTCTGTCCAGTTCTGAAAGATTTGTGTACATGATCATTACTTTTAAGTTATTTCTAATCAGTTGGAGCCATTTATATGAAAGATCTTGCATACAGTTGGGTTTTTACCTAGCTCATTCCAGGATTTGATTAGTATATTCCCCCTTTTCTTTACTAAAGTCCTTCAGTATATTGTTATAAGTATCAATAGCTTAATTAGAATGAAAGCTTTATGTAAGCACTAAAGACTCAGGTAGCATTAATATCCAAAATATTTGGATTGGCCCACAAGAATACTTCATAACTTAACCATATGCTTGTATTAAGAAAAGCTTATGGCCCTGGCCAGTATGACTCAGTTGGTTGGGCATCATTCCATGCACTAAAAGGTTGCCAGTTCGATTCCCAGTCAGGGCACATGCCCAGGTTTTGGCTCAGTCCCCGGGGGGGTGGCCGTGTAGGAAGCAGCTAATCAATGTTTCACTCTCACATTGATGTTTCTTTCTCCTTTTCTCTCTTTAAAAGTCAATTTAAAAATCTTCCAAAAATAAGAAAGAAAAGCTTATATAGTGCAGACAGAAAGCTCTGAAAGTCTGAAAGGTCACAAATACCTAATTGGGATCTGTAAAATGTAAAGGAATGAAATGTCAAGTTAATTTGTAGGTTATTTAAGCTCATGTGCCTTTAATATTTCTAGTTACAGAGAATCTGCTTTCAAAAGAGATTTATAGCCGAAAGCGGTTTGGCTCAATGGATAGAGCGTCGGCCTGTGGACTGAAAGGTCCCAGGTTCGATTCCGGTCAAGGGCATGTACCTGGGTTGTGGGCACATCCCCAGTAGGGAGTGTGCAGGATGCAGCTGAATTGATGCTTCTCTCTCATGGATGTTTCTAACTCTCTATCCCTCTCCCTTCCTCTCTGTAAAAAATCAATAAAATATATTTTTAAAAAAATAAAAATAAAAAAGAATATACTAATAAAGTATTTTGATTTTTGCTCTTCCAAGATTTTCCTTCTGAGAAAGATCTTCTGAAGAGTATGAGTTTTCATATATATATATATATATATATATATATATATATATATATATAAATTTTCTTTTTATTGACTTCAGAGAGGAAGGGAAAGGGGGAGATAGAAACATCAATGATGAGAATCATTCATTGATCGGCTGCCTCTTGCACAACCCCTACTGAGAATGGAGCCTGCAACCTGGGCATGTGCCCTTAGCCAGAATCGAACCTGGACCTTTTGGTCCACAAGCCGATGTTCTATCCACTGAGCCAAACCGGATAGGGCAAGAGTATGAGTTTTCTTTATTATCAGGCTATAGTAAACTGTTCTCTACCTTAATAAAGAAGGATCATGTGGTGGTTTCAGCCACGGGCTTTAACTGGTATACTTCTTAACCATACCAGACCTGAGGCCCTGAACCTAAATGTCCCCTATACCTGGGCTCCTGAGCATTAAAGAGAAAAAACCAACATGATATAGAAAAATGTTACATGCAAACAAGTGGTTAGAATAAGATGGAACTTGGAAACATTGTAGAAAATAGGTTTACCAGGGGTGGGCAAACTTTTTGACTCGAGGGCCACAATGGGTTCTTAAACTGGACCGGAGGGCCGGAACAAAAGCATGGATGGAGTGTTTGTGGGAACTAATATAAATTCAAAGTAAACATCATTACATAAAAGGGTACGGTCTTTTTTTTTTAGTTTTATTCATTTCAAACGGGCCGGATCCGGCCCGCGGGCCGTAGTTTGCCCACGGCTGGCTAGGCAAAGTACCGAAAATTAGGTACAGCGGTATAGTGGCAGATTCGGAAATTACCGAAAAATCGGTACAGCGGTCTGGTAGGGTTAATGATCCAAATAAGTTCTAGCTCTGTGGTGTTGTATTTGTTTGCTTAGGGCTGCTGTAACAAAGTACCAGAGAAATTTTTAAAAATATGTTTTTATTGATTTTAGAGAGGAAGTGAGATAGAAACATGAATGAGAAACATTGATTAGCTGCCTCCTACTGGGGATCAAACCCACAATGGGCCCTGATCAGAAATTGAACTGATGACCTCTTGGTGCATGGGTTGATGCTCAACCATTGAGCCACACTAGCAGGGCACAGGAATTTAAACAACAGAATTTATTGTCTCATAGTTTCAGAGGCCGGAAGTCTGGACTCAAGGTGTTGGTAGAGTTGGTTCCTTCTGAAGGCTTCGAGGGAGGGATCTGTTTCAGGCTTCACTCCTGGACATACAGATAGCCATCTTCACATTCACATGGCATTCTCCCTGTATACATGTCTCTAAATTTTCCCTTGTTATAAGAATTCCAGTAATATTACGTTATAGCCTACCTTCATGACCTCATTTTATTTTTTATTTTTTTTCTATATATTTTATTGATTTTTTACAGAGAGGAAGGGAGAGAGATAGTTAGAAACATCGATGAGAGAGAAACATCGATCAGCTGCCTTCTGCACATCTCCTACTGGGGATATGCCCGCAACCAAGGTACATGCCCCTGACCGGAATCGAACCTGGGACCCTTCAGTCCGCAGGCCGACACTCTATCCATTGAGCCAAACCGGTTTCGGCTCATGACCTCATTTTAATAGTTATTACCTCTGTAAAGACCCTACCTCCAAATAAGGTCACATTCTTAAATATTGGGGATTAAGACTTCAACACACAATTCAATAACAGGTGTGTAAGAAAGTAAACAGGCTACCAATCTAGACTCTTATCTCTTCACTGCAAGAATCATCCCTAGCACAGAAGTCATATGTATATAATTTACTTATGAAATTTGATATTTGAATACTTATACAAAGATAACATACCAGGTGAAATCATTTCCTTATTTATATTCTTACATAAATTCCTTTTTTATATGAGACTAAGAATCTCAAAAGACAAGGTTTTCAAATTAGAGTCTTAAGGTGATGTTTTGGCTGTTTTGAAAAAGCTTTCTGGGAGTTAACATGTAACATTAGATAGCCCTGCTCATTAGAATATCAAGATGGCTCCAGCTTGATTTTTCCTAATTTTATGTACTAACAGCTTTATCTTTTAAATAATTTTGACCTGCTGGTGGTCTATTTGGTGATAAGTTGCATCTATACTCTGCCAAATATCCTGATAAAAACTAGAAAAAGTGTCCAGATTCTCTTTAAACATGACTTCCCCTCGTGACACTACTCCCAAATGACTTGAGCCACAGATCCTCTCAGCTCATATAACTAGGTTGTAGCAGGTAAAATGAGCTTGGGAATGCAATCCCCGGGGCAACTGCAATGAAAACTCTACCCTGGAACTGCTTGTTGTTTTCAGACATTCGTGGACTGAAGTTTTCCTCTTGAAATGGGAGAGTATGTGTGTTTTTCAATGATCATAGATTCTAGCAAAAGGGATTTTTCCATCTTTTGCTTTTAATTTTACTTTTTTTTTTCCTTCAAAATAAAACTTTGAAATGAGTGGACCACTATATAATTCCTGACACTGAATGAGAACTCTAACCTAATATGACATAAAAAGGACTTAAGGATTTTCAAGCTGTTGATCATATAATTCCTAGGAAATAGATTTTTTAGAAGTGATAAAATGACTAAATTACCATTGGTGGGAAACAAAGAGCTAAACAGTAGTAGAAGAAAAAGGATATGTAAAACAACCTTACAAGGCTGTAGCCAACGTGCTAACATCATTTATCGAGTAGTTTTATGTTTATTCTCCTTGACCAGGTTTCTGTGGTCCTTTCTCTGGATAAATATTTTTAAGTAGTAAAGTGATTACAAACGATAAAAAGGCCACTAAAGTGACTACTATCCTCAGGGCTTTGAACCAATTGGGATAATCTGGCAAAAGAAAAAGTTCATTATGTAATGCTATCCCCAAACCTATTATTACTGTGAGTATAGCTTCACTGAGCCTTTCAGAAACAAGGAAGGCAAACCATGAAAACAGGACAGGAGCTGTACTACTAGCTAAATTTAGGTAGTCTGGTTTGGCTGGGCTACCTTCTGGCAGAACAAAACCCCATCTGATCCCTCCCAAGAAAGATAGGAAACTGGCTCCATAAGCCATCTGAGTAAAAGCTAATACGGGGATATAAGTCTTTACCATCACCATGATCAGTGGTGGAGCAAGGAAAGGGATTAGTCCCGCCAGAGAGATGTATAATGCTGGCTTTGGGCTGTCAGGCAGGTATGTGATAGTTTTCGGTGGCCTGGCTGGAAGCACTTCTTCCTTCTGCTTCTTCTTAAAGTTGCATGGGGAAGTATGATAGTATTGTGTCTTGCTCATACACACTGGAAATGATGAGGAAGGCCTAGGCCTTAGAAACAAAGGTGAAAAGTTCTGCTGGAGACATGCCTTGAGAGAAAGTGTTTCTATTCTCCTGCTGGCTCCTAGTCCAACTGTGAAAGGGTACTTCAGCATCTACATAGAGAAAATAAACCAGAAAACAAAAGCGGATTTTTAAAAATGTGTATCACCAAATGTCTTAGTTAATTCCAAACTAGAACAATATAAAAACAAACTAACTGCTTTCTGTTAGCACATCGAACTTTACAGAAAGGTTGGACTACAGAGTGATGTTATTGCTGGCTAAGACTATTAACAGCTATACCACATACAAAAGAAACTACTGAATAGAAGTCACTTATGTTTTGGCTTACCACTAATCTTATCCCATGAGAAAATATCTCAAAAAAGAACAGGTAAAGACTGGATATTTAGTATTTGGCATTCTAAACTGCCTCTTGTACTTACAAATTGCAAAAGCAGTTGCACTAATCACTGAGGCAATGCTATTTTATGTAGAGAAAAGCAGTGTACCTTCCAATATAGCTTTATGAACACTGCATACTTTTCATAGCTCCATGCTTTTCTATATGTCTCTACCTAGCATTCTGGCTTACTTTTCTATTTTGGAACTGTTTTTACAAATTCAGCTTAAAACTTTATCCAATCTGCCCTGACCAATTTGTCTCAGTGGACAGAGCGTCAGCTTGCTGACTGAAGGGTCCCAGGTTCAATTCTGGCCAAGGGCACATGCCTGGGTTGTGGGCTCAGTCCCCAGTGTGGGGCGTGCAGGAGGCAGCCAATCAATGATTCCCTCTCATTATTGATGTTTCTGTCTCTCTCTTCCGCTCCCCTCTTCCTCTCTGAAATCAATAAAAATATATTAAAAAAACAAAAACTTTCTCCAATCTGATTTAATGCTCCTATAAGAAAGTACCCTATGTGTGCTTCCATTATAATTCTCACAGTGAATTAAAATTGTGAGTAGACTTGAGAACCAGGACCATATTTTTTCTTTGCCTTAAAAAAAAATCCTTATGCCTTTCATGTTATATGACCAAATAAACTTCTCTGCTGATTCTATGCTTTAGTAAGCAGATTCCAGACTTCAACTAGTAAATAGATTACAAGTAACTCAAGAAGTGTTTGATGAAAGCAAAAATGAAAGTTGAGAATTTTGGTGATTCCTCAAAATGCTAGGAATGATTCCATCTTGGGACCTCTTTTTTCCTTTAGTCTAGAATGTTCTTCTCTGAACTACCTGCATGGCCCATTCCCTAATTTCTGACCACCCCATTTATATAAAGTGCAATCATAAGTCTATTTTTTAATTTATTTTTTAGTCTTTATTGGTTAAGGTATTACATATGTGTCCTTATCCCCTCATTGCCTCCCCACCCCCCAGTTCATACCCTCAGCCCCCTAGTGTCTGTGTCCATTGGATATGCTTATATGCATGCATACAAGTCCTTTGGTTGATCTCCCCCTTCCCCCCACCCTCCCCTTTGTAAGTCTATTTTTGACAAGTCGTATTCCCTTCTCCTGCTTTATAGTACTCCATAGCACTTACCACTTGATATATTAAATATTTTACTTATTTGTACTTTACAAACACACACACACATATCCAAATATCAGGAAAGGATTTTTTTTTTTTTTGTCTTCTTTTTCACTGCTATTGCCCAGCCAAATCATGTCTGGCAAGTAGTGCTCAAATATTTGCTAGATAAACCAACCTTTGAAGATGCTTGAGAAAACTTCCGGATGAAGTGAAGCATACTGGGACCTAATGAAGTCTTGCTCAGGAAGATGCCAGGCAGTTCTGATTAATGTATTTTTATAGCTAAGTGGACACGCTGAATCAGAAGCATGTTGCTGTGTACAAAATAAGATGTCAAACAAAAAAACAACCAAATAGATGTCACTTAATTTTCTTCATTTTATACATAATTTTCTTAAAGTAACTTGAGAATTGCCTGGCTGGCATGGCTCAGTGGTTGAATGTCAACCTATGAACCAGGAGGTCACAGTTCGATTACTGGTCAGGGCACATGCCTTGGTTGCAGGCTCAATCCCCAGTGGGGGGCATGTAGGAGGCAGCCAATTGATGATTCTCTCTCATTGATGTTTCTATCTCTCTCTTCATCTCTGAATTCAATAAAAATATATTTTAAAAAATAATAAAGTAACGAGAATTTCTTCTATATAAGTTTCCTTTGAAAACAATCATTATCATTTTCAAAAAATCAATAACATGTTAATAGATCCTTTCCTTCTCTGAAAATATTAATGCACAGAGATCTAGATTTTACAGATAACCATCATTTCCCAGCTGTGTGTCCTTAGATAAATTGCTTCCTTGAAGTGCCAATTTCTCATCTTTAAAACTGAAGGTCAGCCCTAACCGATTTGGCTCAGTGGATAAAGCATCGGCCTGCGGACTGAAGGGTCCCAGGTTCGATTCCGGTCAAGGGCATGTACCTTGGTTGCAGGCACATCCCCAGTGGGGGGTGTGCAGGAGGCAGCTGATCGATGTTTCTCTCTCTCATCGATGTTTCTAACTTTCTATCTCTCTCCCTTCCTCTCTGTAAAAAAATCAATAAAATATATTTTTTAAAAAAATAAAACTGAAGGTCATAGCATCCATGTTCTTTTTTCCCCCTTATTTATTTTGGGACTTAGGAGTTTATAGCTCAAAATAATGATGATAATACAATTCAGCTGTGAACCAGACACTGTGTTTGATATACAAAAACTAATTACAAAAACCTCATCAACTTAGTGCTGAGAGACTGTATAACCTGGTAAGCTAGAGCACAAACTTTGGAGTCAGACAATCTAGATTGGAATCCTGGCCCCACCACTTACTAGCTATGACTTCAGACAAGCATTTAATCTTGCTATGATGCAGTTCATTCACCTTTGAAGATAAGGATTATAATTACACAGGATCGCTGTAAAAATTAAATCATTTGATACATGTAAAGAGCTAAGAACTGTCCCTAACACAAAGAAAGCACTCAAAAAATATCTGCTGCCCTAGCTGGTTTTGCTCAGTGGCTAGTGTCAGCCTGCAGATTGCAGGGTCCCGGGTTCGATTCTGGTCAAGGGCACATACCTAGGTTGCAGGTTCGATCCTCCCGGCCTGGTCTGGTCTGGGTGCGTGCTGGAGGCAACAAGTCAATGTGTCTCTCTCACATCGATGTTTCTCTCTGTCTCTCCCCCTCCCTTCTACTCTCTCTAAAAATCAATGGGAAAATATCCATTGTGAGGATTAACAAAAAAATTTTTTTTTACCCTAGCTGGTTTGGCTCAGTGGCTAGAGCATCAGCCTGTGGACTGAATGAATGGTCCCAGGTTCCATTCTGATCAAGGGCACATGTTTGGGTTGCAGGCTCAATCCCCAGTAAGGGGTGTGCAGGAGACAGCCCATCAATGATTCTCTCTCATCATTGATGTTTCTCTCTCTCTCCCTCTCCCTTCCACTCTAAAATCAATAAAAATACATTTAAAAAATAAAAATATATATTTTAAAATTTTAAGTTCTTATTTCCTCCTTATTCTTTAATGCTTTTTTATTATTGATTTATTTTACTTACATAATATAAGTAGCCAGTAAAGTGACTGAGAATATGAATCCATATGTCTTATGTGAGTCCCATTCTTTGTTCTTTTCCCCCCCTTTTTTTTGCTTGTGTGTGTGTCCCCCACTCTTAACCAGAAAAATGAGGTGTCTACAAAAATCCCAAACCAAAAATTTTTTTAAATCCCAAACCCACAGTTGCCTCTCCATTTACAATTTTAATGAACTAACTTCTTTTATTTGTGTGTTGTTTTTAGTTACTGATTTTTAGAGAGAGGGAGAGGGAGAGAGACATTGATTTGTTGTTCCACTTACTCATTATTGTATGTGCCCTGACTTGGGATGGAACCCGCAACCTTGACTGTGGAAAAGACGCTCTAACCAAGGCAATGAACTAATTTCTTGATCACAAATCTGGGAATTCCTGTATACTGGTCAATGTCATCATTCTATACATAGGAAGCAAGTAGTGAGTTAAGTTATCCTGGGCCTCTGAGTAGATCTTAAAATGACACCCACCACATACACCTCGTAACTCCCAGACACACATTTATCTGCAGGGCCCACACAATCACTTTTATGCAAAATCACCTGCTTAAGGGCCTTCTGGACCACCCCACTTAAAATCCCAGCGCTCTCTCCAGCTTTGGAACTCTCTATGCACTGTGATATATGTGCTTTCCAACTCGTGAGTTCAAGCGAATAAATGATAGCCTAAAACCCGGGGGCGGCCAATTGGTTAGGGAATTATGAACAGACCCAAGGGTTAATCCGCTTCAATTCAGGCGAAACGCTCAGTATTTCCACTGCCCCAAAAGAAAAAGTTGCAAACTGCAAGCCTCAGAGCCCACATCCGAGAAAAGGAGATAGAGTCTGAACTCTCGGATCCTCGGTGAACTTTCCCCAACAATGCCCGTGTCTCCAGTTTACTTGCCAACCCCTACTGCCCCCCTTTCCAACCTGCATTTCTGGTAGCAGCCCTACTACTCACTTGCCAGTGTCGCGCGGAGAGATGAAAACCTGAGCTGCAAGAACAGCCAAGTACTCCTGAAAAGGCACTTCCGGCAAGTGGGGTTAGAATAGTCCTCCACTTCCTGTCAACTGGAAAAAATGAGTCCGGGTAGGATCGTGAGCAGCGCTAAGTGGTTCCTACTTTGGGCTTTCCTTTCCGTCTTGGGTCATTCTCTGAATTTAGTGAAATCCGGCTTTTGAAGTCTGCAGGGTACCTGGCGGTTCCTTGCCTCTCTATTCCAGGTTTCCTAGGCAGTTCGGTAGGTAGAGTGCAACATCTGAAACAACCTCAGAGTGATGGTGGAAGAAGGTAGGAAAGATTTGGAGTCTAGACTGTGAGTTGGCCAAATTGCTTGTTATCTCTGGAACTCATCTTTTAGTGTGCATAACAACAGGTTTTCTCAGATCTACGGGGCATATCTCACTGCGATTTAGGGTCCTAATAAACAAAAGTAAATATGGAACATAGTGTTAGTTGCCTATCCAATATCCATTTATCTATCTTCCATATTAACAGAATTCCAGTTTTGTATGGGACACCAATGTATGAAGAAAAAAAACTTTTTACTTCCATTCTCTTTGCTAGGGCCTGGAACCTTCATTAAGAAATGAGGGGAGCCCTAACCCGTTTGGCTCAGTGGATAGAGCGTCGGCCTGTGGACTGAAGGGTCCCGGGTTCGATTCCAGTTAAGGGCATGTACCTTGGTTGCGGGCACATCCCCAGTAGGGGGTGTGCAGGAGGCAGCTGATTGATGTTTCTCTCTCATCAATGTTTCTAACTCTCTATCCCTCTCCCCTCCTCTCTGTAAAAAATCAATCAAATGTATTTTTTAAAAAGAGAAAGAAATGAGGGGAGCCCGACTGGTGTGGTTCAGAGGTTGTGTGTGGTTCAGAGGTTGAGCGTGGGACCATGAATCAGGTCACTGCTGTGGGCTCAATCCCCAGTGGGGGGCGTGCAGGAGGCAGCTGATCAATTTTCTCTCTCATGGATGTTTCTCTCTCTCTCCCTTCCTCTCAATAAAGTCAACAAAACTTTTTTTTTTTTTTTTAAGGAAAGACGGGGAGGACGGGGGAGGGGACGGGAAAAGATTAACCAAAGAACATATATGCATATATGCATAACCCATGGCCATACAGTGTGGGGAAGGCCTGGGGTGGGGCTGGGACTGGGTGTAGGGGGACAGAAAGGGGGGAATGGACATCTGTAATACTGTCAATAAGTAATTTTTTTTAAAGAGCACAAGGGGCAGGATTTTCATGCTCATGAAAGGTGTAGTAGAAAGAGCTTCGGGGGTGATTCAAAAAGTTAGATCATTCATCCTGTCACCCTTGGCTTTAATTTTTGTCCGTTATGTGACCTTGGGCGAGTTCATTCCCTTCTCTGGGCCTCCATTTTACAATCTATCAAAGAAGAACAGCACCAAGCAATTTGAGTGGCCTTCTTAAGCCAAGTAAAAGGACAGCTCAAGAGGCCCACGCTAGGCAGTTTCTCCATCCCTCCGGATTCTGCGTGGCCCAGCTTCCTGGCTGCGGGTCAGCGTGTGGTTGAGCTCCCAGTGCTGGATGGGCTCACAGCAAACTCTTCGTAACTGTAACCGCTTCTGGTCGCGATAGGCTTTCGCTTTTATTTCCTCCTTTGTGCGTCTTGGCAGCGCCGCCCCTTCCCGTCGTGCAATACCCATGAGACTTTATTTAGTTTGGGGAACAGCTTCTCCGCTGAGCAGAGGCCAGAAAGCCGCACTGTGCCGGTCCGGGGCGTGACGCCAGCCGGCAGCGGAACTACCACTCCCGGCGGGTAGCGCGTCGCGCGCCGGAGCGCTGGCCTCCCGAGCCCGGTCGTGTGGCCCGCGGGGGGCTGGAGTCTTAACGACACGCGCTCGCGAAGGAGCGGAAGGTGGGGAAGGGTCGGCAAACGCACGCCCCTACGAAACGGGTTTGCTAGTCCTTGTCGAGGTAATTTGGGGACGGGGTGTGGGAGGGTGAAGAACGGAGGAGCAGGGAAAGGCGGGTACACAGAGACACACACCCCCACACACTCATTGACACGCGTCCCGGCTCTAGGGTTGGGCCGGGGGAGGAAGGGGAGCACCAAAGTCCGCGGGCCCCGCCTCTGGTCGAGGCGGAGGGAGCTGGGGGCGGGGCAGGGAATAACCGCCGCTCACGTGCCCCGAACGTTGCCGGCGTGGGGCGCCGGCAGGGTCACCCGAGCAGGGCGCGTGCGCGTGCGTCCCTAGTGGGCGTTGGGAGTGGGCGTGTGTGTGCGGCGGTGTTGAATGGGGGCGGGCTGGGCCGAGCGTCGCTCCTCCCCCTCCACCCGCCGGGCCCCTCCTGGGCAGTGTGGGCCGGGCAGCCATTTTGGGAAGAGCTTTGTTATGGTTGTGGGCTCTCCAGCTCTGCGGGACCAGGAAGCCGAGGACGCGTCCTCAGACACCGCGGTGTCGCGTGCCTAGCTGCAGCCCGGCCGCTGCCCAGTGAGTGGGAGCTCCCGACCGCGGGGCAGTAGGAGAGCGAGGGTTTTCCCGGCGCGGGACTCCGCCCGCTGCCTGCCCGGCCGTCTGTGGAAACTAGTTGGAGGCGGCTCTCACACAGGTGGTTGGGTGGAGGTGGGCCCGGGCCAGGGGAGCGGAGCCCGCGGGTCGTGTGGTGGGCACCGGGCACCTCCCCCCGCGCGTGGGCTCGGGACGCGGGCGGCGCCGCGGCGGAGGGCTCCCGCTTCGACTCGGGTCGGCGGGTCGCAACGCTCACCTGCGGCTCTCGGGCTCCTCTCCAGGCGTCTCCGCCTGGCGGTGGAGTGACTTGGTTTACGGGTTTCCTTTTCTTCTTAGAGGAGAGCCAAGGGCTTTTTTCCAGTGAAGGAAAATAATGAGGAGGAAATAATCGTGTTAGTCAAATGCGGTGTGTGTGCGGGGGGAAAACCTTTAACCCCCAACGTTCTGGTTCTCCTTGGCAGCGGGGTGTTTTCCTTGGTTGAGCGCCTACCATCACGACCCTCGGGAAAAAGCTGGTCGATCTTGAAGTATGAGGAGGATGTTTTGTGGGGGGTTTTTTGTTTTTGTTTTTTTCTGTTTTAAATCTACCTCTAACACACACACACACAGACCCCACACCCCCGGTGAAATTCAAAAGAAACGCTGAATCTAAAATGGCTGTAGCTTGGGGAAGTGCCCTGAGCTTCGGTAACTTAAAATACGTTAAATCGTCTTACATTTTTAGTTGTTTCTCCTACTAGGGACAGCTTAATCTTTTGATCTTTCGGTTGTCTTGTAACTGATGTCTTATCTTGAAAAGGCCTTGGTAGGTGAAAACAAACGTGAGGCCAAAGAAGTTTGCTTACTCCAAAAGTTTACGTAAGAGCGGGTGCGGGGGTTGTGTGTTGTCATTGCTTATAGTTTTGAAATTGTGCCGTGGTGGTAATTTTGTCTTCCAACTCTGTGCTCTGAGGTTGGTTTGTCATATTGGTTGAAATAACTTGCTCTTTGATATGATTTATTGCTTCGGAAACAACGGAGTCCGTGGGTGGTTCATGTTTTGGTTTAGCAACGAGTCGCTCTCCGTGTCATCCCTTCCCGAGTAGAGTGACGGGTGTCCTCGGGGCGCCGAGCCCCGGGGTCCGGGCCGCTGGCCTTTCCGAGGTCTTTTCTGTGTAACAACCCGAAAGGGAACCTGCGTGCTGTTAAGTTTGGGTCGTTCATTAGAGGAGTGAAGACAAGTGAAAACAGACTTCAGCCGTGGAGCGCCTGGTGGTTGTGCCCTTTTAGACAAAAGCCTGTCTTTTTGTTTGCTCTTTTTTTTTTTTTTTTTTTTTTAACTATAAGATCCAGAAATATAACTGAAAACAAAAAGGCAGAGAATGTAAACCAGAAACAGTTAACTTAAGTGTTTGGGAAGGTGCTTGAGTTTCGAATTGTAATCTGCCTAAACGATAATAAAATGCTAATGTGAATGAGAACTTTGGAATTAATAGTTAAAAAGCTGTCATTCCCCCCCCCCCGCCGCCCCCCCCCCACGAGAGTCAGTGTCAATTTACCTTCCTACATTCTTTCAATACAAACATTTATTTTTTAGGATTTTTTGTTCTTATTTTGGTGGTTTTACAAAAAAAGAAAAACATTTAAAGTGCTTTATAGAAATTACAAGTCAGTTTGGTTTTTTTGTCATCGTTTCCTACTGGACCCCGTAAAGTTAGATGCGACCTATACTTGTAATTTTTTTTTCAGGGTACTCAAATGGTTTGTATATGGTGATA